AGGGGGTCAGGCTAGATGATCTGTTCAGGTCCCTCCTGACCCTAGCTACTATGAAACTTATCCCCTCGTACTTCTACTGTCTGCAATTCAGAATATTGCCACCTCTATCATGTATCCTTGTACCATGACCATCATCACCCATATCCTCAACTACCTGCATGTTCACTGTGTAGAGTAACAAAAAACAAGCAGCTGCCCCTTCATGCCTTTCTGACTACAGTTCCTCTCTTCCCACAGCTGCCCATAATATGTTCCAAATATTAGTGGCCTCTCCATAGCCTTTGGCATCTCCTATCCACATGTGTTGTTTCCTTTCCCTTGGCTCTGCCACTTACCCCCTCTATTCTGCCAGTTTGGTGGCCTCTCTTAATCCTCTCCTCCATGTGTAAAGGCTGTGTTTTTATGAACGTATTATAATATTAATTTGTACTGTGTGTACAGCATATTGCTGATCCATCCTTTTTCTGTTCTGACATAAGCTGACTTACTGCTTCTAAGTTCTAGACATAAAACTTCTGTAATAACTGAGCTTCATCCACCAAACCCCTAATATTTTTTTAAATTTTACTTTAAAAACCCCGTCATGACTTACTGCACCTGGTAGCATCAGCTTTAATTAAACTCGTAGCTGCACAGCATGCAGTTCAATTTACCAATAATTTAAAGCTCATTTCAGTGGCATTATAGACATTTCCTTTCAGAGAAAATTAGTAAGAGGTCCTGGTTGTTTTTTCCTGCCATTCATCACATGCTGTGCTTCAGCATATATTTAAAAAAAAAAAAAAAAAAAGGAGAGAACTGCATAGTTCATGAGACTAGTAATTGAATGTGGAACCTCTAGGTTACTTCATCCAATCCAGCTTAGGTCCATAATGCATAAACATCATTTGTATCTGGCTGCTATTTGGAGGCTTATGTGAAATGAGCAAAAGGTCTAATTTAATTTGCCAGTGATACAGCTGGCCATGTCATGAACTTAATCACAAATTTTAGATTCTTTGTTGTCAGGACTGGAACATCCTTCCACATCACCATGGGGGTTGTCCATCCCATTAAGAGAGAAATCATTTTGGTACTGAGAGCTTGTTGCCTGGTTGGTGCCTTTACTGAGAACTATTAAGTGACTTCCATCTCTCAGGCCTTCACCCCAGCACCTTCCACCAGTACTAGTCACTTTATGAAAGTGAGGGAAACACCTAGTCTGAAAGAATGCAGTTGCACAATCATTTGCACGGCCGTTTTGATGCGTCTCTCCATTGACATCTAGTGTCCATGCAAAAAGAACCTGAGACTTCAGACAGGTGTGCGTGTGCAATGTTTATTTCCAAACCTTTAAGGTTCTTCCATAAATACTATATACTTTTATTGGTTACAATAGGACAGCATAATAGTAGGAAGGGAAGACAGTAAGAAAACTTGAACTCAGTTGCACTTGGCATCTTGGGATTTCTGTGATCATACCTCAGTGTGCTAACAAATAGTGTTTCTTGGTCTCCAGAATGCCTGAAAAGGTTGTGCTGCTTGTCATTCACAGCTGTCACCCTACATTCATATATTAAAATTACTGTGTGGATGCCTACAAGCTACTTTCAAGTTCTGTGTATCATTCGTTGAAGCATGCATTTGGTTATGAGTCAAATGCATTTCTTTCTAGTGTTGATTCTGTACAGCATTTCTGAGGTATCAAATGTCAAGCGTTTCAGTAGTTTTTAATGTACGAGTCCTTTCTTTGATTAATAAATGAGCATGCATTCCAATTAAGGTGACTTTTTGTTACGCTCCTTTATACCATTAAAGCTGTGTAAGTAAAAAAGGTTTTTTTCTTTACTTTTGTTTTTTGAAATAAAACAGTCATTTACATAGTTAGCCTGAAATAACATGACTGAAATTCCAAATTACTGCAAAAGGAATTGTTTAGCTGGTAGAAAATACTGAGCTCAGACAACTGTTTAATCCTATCGCTATTGTTCACTTTGTTCTATAGCAACCTACCCTTAGCAGCACTTCCTTCTAGCTCAGTAAATGTTTATACTGTGGCGTTGCCCAATGGTGCCACAGTTAGGACTGGGGGTCCACTGTGCTGAACACTTTTATAACAGAAAAAATAAAATCCCTGCCTTGTCAGACCTACAATCCAAAAAAAACCTCTCTATGTTGAAGCATCTCAAGCAGTCTCTGTTTTCAAAAGTACTCATCAGCAAATGCTTTTACCAAAACTTGTGAAACCTGTTTTTCTCATAATATTTACATAAAATGTTGTAAACGGTGAGAGAGTCTATCCTCTGAAAAGAGTCAGAATATTTTATTCGTAGTTATGTCTGTAACTGATTTTTGTAAGTTTGGCAGGTAAATCTTCTCTCTGGCTTCTATTCTAAACTGTATCCCTTTCAAGTCCAACAGATCCTAGAGCCATTGGTCTGTTTTTTAAGCTTCCATATGTATTCATTTGGACTTTGCTTCCAGCTTCCCACTCCTGTGAGGCTGGGGTACACTACAAAGATGCGGTGTTTAGACTCTGTGGGGATGGAACGCCTTGCAATACCCAACAGGAACTCTTCTGGGCATCTGTCAAGTGTCATTGAGAAGATATCATGCTGTCTCTATCACTCATGAAGATGTTAGTTATGATGTGTCATCTCCATAATCCAGCTGTAGAGCAGATAACACCCCTGTCAGGGCAGCCCTCTACTTTGAGGCATGTGAGGCCCTGGGGCAGAGCCAGCTCTGAGGTCCAGACAAATTCTAGCTGGTAGAAGCTAAGGGAAGGAGGTGCCTCCTCAGGTACTGCAGTCTTGGTGAATGGGCTGCGATAAGACACAGATGAAGCCAACTGTGCAGGAACGAGCCCATGGTCCTCCTCTGGAGGCATAAGAGCCATCACTGTTTTGACTCTGCTTCCATGCTCCATTGCTTTCCAAAACTCTGTTTGTTTTCTCTGCAGACTAGAAATGTTGTAGTGAATATCTAGTACTCTCATTTGTACAACGGGCTGCAATCTTGGTTGCCTTGTAGGCACTACCAGAATGCAAATAACAAGAAAAATGAAAGGACATTTCAGGCTTCACTAAGGAGAAGCAGGGAAAACCCTTCTGCTAGAAAAAAAGAGGAAATCAGTCTTGCCCTATTTCTATTAAAAAAAAATGAAACAAAACAGGTAACCTGTACAAGTTTTCTCCATTTGTTCTGTTGGGTCAGGAGCAGTCATGCCTCTCTCTGGCTGTCAAATACCCTCCTTTCACTGGCTTCACGTTAATTGAAATGCTTATTAAAAGTAGCCCAACTATAAGTGATTCTGTGTTGAAAGAGGCTGTTGAATCTCTCATGAAATCCTGAGAGCGCAAAAACGCCAATACTACACGTCCAGCCTGGAGCATCTCTGCATTCAACTCAACTGTAAAACATACCACATGAATGGGGCAGGATGCACAGTGGGAACTCATTCAGAATAGACTTTACTGTGGATGCAGCGTAGCTGTAGTAGCAGCCAGCCAGGGGCTTTCATTCCAAACCACTGCGTAATGATGGTTAAACATTTATACATCTTTATTTATTTCTCTCTCTGCCCTGCTCCTTCTCGTCTCCCTCCATCCACTCCTGACATCTCATGCCACAGAGAACAGATTCCAACAAATCCCAATTCTCCATCATTTCAATGAACTGAAGCAGCAGCTGCAGTCAAGAGCATCACGTTGCTAAGCAACACATCTGAGTTTCCCCCTGGGTTGTGTTACCATGGTGACACCTGGGAGGGCAGACGCTGTCGGATTGAATTTTGTAAAAGCAGCTGCCCCTTGAAAAGCAGGACGGCTCTGTTCTCGAACAGAGAGCCTTAAATGAGCAAAGGTAAAAGGAATAATGAGACGGGAGGGTGCGTTCACACCATCCTCACTGAGCGTGACTGCTGCGCATGGCGTGCCTAGAAGGCAGCGGATAAGAAAAGGTCCCCCCTAGAGAAGCTTACCATTTAACATATTAAGATAACACTGCAGGCAAAGACAATGTCAGCCCAAGAGGGTGGGGATTAGCTGCATGGAACAGGTGCTGGGCCATCACTCATCTGGTTTACACAATCAGAACCTGCAAACAAATGACAGCTTCACAAAGGTTTGGAATGCATGCTGTTTGTTACACGATGTGGCTGTGAAAGGAGGCAGTCTTGTGTGTCATTATTAAGATAAAACAGTGCACCTCATATGGAGGGATTAAAATCTTGTTTTACACTGATAGATTTGTCTGCAAACACTACAGGGGATGCAGCCACCTGCTCCGGTAGCTACAAGCAATCCAGCAACCAAGCCCCACTGGTATGAGGAACTTGGTAAGAAGAGGCCAGTGAGCTTTCAGAAGGCCATAGAAGATAGTTCCGTTACCCACAGTGGTGGTCAAGCACCGACCCAATAACACCATGGACTTCAGAGAAGCTGTTTACATAACTGCCCCCTGACATCAAGAAAGAGCCCCACAATCTGGCTCATAGGTAGCTGTTATCCAGAGCACTTGGAGAGAACTTCCAGAAGAAGGCAGGCACTCAGGAAGCCCCAAAAATGTAGGCAAGGAGATGGGTAATTTCCCAATATAGCTGCTCTTGCTGCACAAAAATGTTTTTCTCTTAGGATTCAAGTAAAAGGAAGCCTCTTTTCTGTTGCAGATGGCTCTTGAATAAATTCTCTCTCTTGAATTCGAGGTTCCTTTTCTTTACCTGTTGCCTCAGAGGTCCTAAACATATTCTAAGTATTTGTTCTAGGGTGGCCATCATAGAGGACATTCTGTTTTTTGCTACTCTGTCCTCTATTGATATGAAACTGGACACCTTTATGTCCTCTATTTTTCTTGAAGAGAACAATAGAGGACATAAAGGCAACCGGTTTCATATCAATAGAGGACAGAGGACAACCGGACTGTCCTCTGTAATGGCCACCCTAATTTGTTTGCTGTAAAAGTCTCTGTCTTCTGCAGGAAACAAATTAAATCTGGGTAGCACTGGATAGAGAGCTTTATAGTTGACTCTAGAGATGAACACAGCCAGCCTTAAGGGGGTAGCAGTTCTGTAATCCAGGGGCACCCTGACTGCTGTAAGTCATGTACTAGGGGAACATGCCTCCACACATGTCTTGCTTAACCTAGAAGTATGTGAAAGTCAAGCATTGCCTTTATTTCTTCCCTGCTCTCATCTAGCAGAGTTACTGCACTTCCAGCAAAATATTGACTGTCTGTAGCCTTGGAATCCAGGCCCCATTGTGCTAGTAGTCACTGTACAGACAAAAGCTCCTAGACAGGCTGTGACCTAGACCATGATCCATGGCTCTTAGCACAGCACTCATTTGCATTTTGACACACACTGCTTTTTCCTTGTAACACTGTATCATTTATTTGAGGTTTTGATAATTTCTGAATCAGCTTGCTGTCTTAAAAGGATACTGAGATGTCATGGCTAATAGCAGCCTGTTGCCTTAATTAATTCGAACTCTTCACCTCCAGACTGCCCAACTCATGATCCAGCCTTTCCTTTGTGTCCACATTCATGTGCATTCAAAGCTCTGTGATGAAGATAATTTGCCTGGCTTGTCACTTTGACTATGACCCTCTCCCCCAGCTTCCTCTTCTCCACTGAATCAAATGCAAACTTATTGTCTTTGCTTGCCAGCTCCTTCTCTGCCTGTCCCTAGCTGATTCTCTCTTATATGATCTTGATGTTCATCCTGCCAATGTTGTCAGCCTTAAAGACCCACTTATTACATTTTTTAACAGGCATCTTGGTGCTTTTTTCCTGCTGTCCCTCACACAGAAGGAGATCCAGGAAAACTCATGAAAGGCAGCAGCCATGCTGAGATGCTGCCAATCAGTACGTCTGTCCACAGAATTGAAAAATAGACTCATAGCATTGGAAGAGGATTTCAGAGTTCACCTGGTCCAACCCCTTGCACAGACACTGCATTCACTCTTCCTAAACCATCTCAGGTGCCTATCCAGCCTGTTCCAGAAAACCTCCAGTGAAGTTGATCCCACAGCTTCCGTAGGCCACTTGCTGCACTGTTGTCCTGCTCTTACAGGCAGGAAGTTTTTCCAGAGATTTGTTCTAAATCTTCCTTGCTGCAGGTTAAATATATCACAATGTGTTCTGCCTAACGTCACAGGGGAAGAGAGTATTTTTCCACCGTGACAAGTCTTCTGAATATTTAAAAACAGATCACATTCCCTCTCATTGTCCTTTTCTCCAAACTGCAGACACCTAGTTTTTTTCAGCCTTTCCTGCTTACCTTGGACTTCTCTGTAGGTCATATTTCTGTGGTCTCTTTTCTCATTCTTAGCCTAAGTAGCAGTACCAAGGGGCAGAGATTGGATTTTTGTTCTATGTTTGTCTGGCTCTGAGTACAATGAAGTCCTGATTTATGACAGGCCTGTAAACACCACTGCACTGCAAATCCCAAATCTCAAACCTACATGCTCATAAGTCTGTGACATTTACCACAAAGCTGTTTATATCCAAGCCTGGCAGTTTCTGAGCTCTTTGCAGTTATTCAAACATTATTGTAATTCTTTCCACATGTATGGGAGCAGCAGAAACTCCTTGATGGTTTATTTGCAGCTAATAGGGAATTAGAAAGCAAAATAAATGGTTGGTCACAATAGATCTCCCTCCCTGACTCTGCTGCCTTGTTTCTTCAACCCTGTTAGAGATGACCGGGCTTTCTAGCCGATAGCTGCTACAAACTCTGTCAGAATGTGGTTTTAACACATCTTGAGGCTGCAAAGGCCTCCGAGGTTACTTAGTCTACATCCCTGCAAAAATTGTTATGAATAATTAAAGCAACCACTCCACCTGGCTTCAGCCAATCAGATCCCTTTTTGCATTATGTCCCTCTTATTCCCCACAGCCATTGAGAGCTGTATTTAATGGGCTGAACACAAGTAGATCAATAAAACAGCAAGATATATAGCAAAGTTCTGTCTTTCTATTTGCTTGTGTGTGAACCCCAGCACAGAAGATACAGGTTAGAGTGGACTTCTTGTTTTATTTAGTTTTGTTTTTTTGGTTTTGGGGTTTTTTTTGGAGAAAAGCTGCTCTCGTTTTTCTTTTTTAACGTAATTCATTCTCTATTCTGCCTGCAAGTATTTTTCTACCTGGACCATGCTGGGTGCTGTGGCTTACCGTGACAATGAGAGAGCTCCTTTGCAGCTGCAGAATAGCAAATCTGGAATTGTTCTGCCAAGCCTGCTCATCCTGTGTTCTGCAGGTCCCACGTGATGGCAGCTGCAGGGAGAACCAGACCTGTTAAAGGAGCATGGCCAAGCTTCTCTAGTGAAAAGCAGCACTTAGGATGACTAGAAGCAATAGGTATTAGAGGCACTTTATTTGCTGTTTGCTTACCTTGTACACTACAGAGCCCTTTGGCCATATTCAGCTTGTTTCTTCCTGGATGAACATTCCCTTATGTACATTAATGTTACGTTTGAGGATACAATATCAAAAGGAGGCATCATCACCTGGATTTTCACTAATTAGTAGAATTTTAGAAAAATTAAAGTAGACAGGACAAGATGGCACTCTGAACCCTGGGCTCTAAAGGGATATAGCAGATTATTTTGCTTCCATCCACCTCTCAAAACCTACTCACCTTTTCCAAGAATGCAGAGCACCTGGCTGCAGAAGATGCACCTCAAAGGGAGTCTGAAACTCTAAACACCTCCCTCCCCACAAAACACAAACACAACAACAACAAAAACCCCTTTGCTAAAGAGGAGTGTTTCAGGCTTACACTGCTGGAAGGCCTCTGACTACAAGAGCAGCCAAAACTGGAAGGAATGACAGGGACAAAGCAACCCACCTGCAAACCAAGGCAGACTATGGGAAGTGGATCTCTGACTTTTTAAAGCACCTGGAAATTATCTGACATCTAAGATCTGAGCAGTAAGAGGTAAGGCTATAGACTTGGAACATTGCAGCACTGTGCTAGGAGTTACCCCAGGAAAACGTGAGGGAAAGGTAGAGTCACATGGCTCTGCAAGCGCAGAACGAGATGCAACTTAGCTTTGTTTTCCACATCATTTAATTCAAGTGAGACAACATCAGAATGAAGGGTTGCTGCCTGAAAAGGCTGAAGGAGACGACCTATTTCAGCATGGAAGCACTCTAGTTGCAGCGTAGTTGAATCTCAGCTCTGTGGAAATGCTGACAGCACACAGAGCACCCAGGGTGCCATTACCTCTGCCCAGGCCTCCAGCAGACCGACGGATCTCATTGTAATGTTTCATCCCTGTCAACAGGAATAATTAATAATGGAAAAAAACAGAGTTTAGCAACAAACTACAAATTTCCTCAAGACTTTTTTACTCTGAGAGAAATGGGGGAGATTTAGGGTAGGGCTCAGGAAGGGAGAAATCTGTTCCAGAAGGAATTCTGATTTAAATTGTTCAGTTTACAAAATCACTGTTGCACAAGGGGAGACTTTAAACACAGGAAAATGGAATAGAAATCTAAGTTTTAGATGCACAAGAAGATACTCCAAAAAAAAGTGCTAGTGAAAAAAACACTGTGGCAAACAGGGCAACCTAAGAAAAGGAGGGTAGTGAAAGAATAGGAGTCTGTGGAATGCAGCGGCAATGGCAAAAGTGAAGCTGAACAAGAAGATGTAGATATGTGAGGAATGAGCCGAATATTAATGGGAAGGAGTGGTTTAACTATAAGTTAATGTTGTACATAAAATAGTAAGTTTGGATTAATGTTGTCATTGTTACCAACATCTGAAGGCCCGCCGTGTTTGACAAACATACAGAACAGTAGTTCCACTCAGGTTAATGCCACCAGAAACACCCTGCCCGGCATGTCTGCTTTGTAATCTGGCAACTCCCCATCTCACTAATGGGTGCAATTCATAGAGGCACAACAGTGTTTTTAGTATTGGGCTCATGTTACTCTAAACGCAGTACAGTGGCCTCTGGTGTACAGCATAACACTGCTGTAGTGTGTGTAGTTATTTACGTATCTGTTCCAAGTCAAATGGTATTGTAGGAGTCGGTTTTCCTTCCCAATGATCCTATCTGGACTGGGCGTGTCCCATACTAGGCTCTTTCAATATTACTGTTTCCTATTTTTTAGCACATCTCAGGGCCAAATCGACTGAGTTTCTAATTACTCTTTAAGCATCCCTCAGATTTATTGACTTTGTATGCATCACCTGCAGCGTTAAATCAAGCACTTTGGAGTGCCACAAAGTAAAATAATTGAATATAGGAAAAGTGCAAGTTTTGTCATACCCACCCTATCTGGACCAACAGGAGGCAAGAAATGCTTATATATTAAATTCAGCCCATGCTGGCTACAGGGAAACGCCACACATTTTAATTCCTGAGCTGCAGGAGACATCTGCTGGCATCCATGGTGGGAGTGCCATGCATTTCAGAGGAAGGAAGAAGTAACAGGTGAAGGAGCGTGCACTTGACTCCCCCACATATTGCCAAGAACAAGAATGAGCCTTCGGCGACTCAGGTAGGACCTACTGAGCAAGGTGGCAATGATGTCTAATCAGTGGTCATAATGAACTCCTTCTATATATGGGAAGTTTAGAAAGAATTCAGGACAAGGTGAAAATGAGGAAATTGAAATGTAGAGAGGAAAGTAAGAGTTAATATAAAGCAGGAAAACATCTAGTGACTAGTCTATATAATCAAGCCCAAGGGAAGTGCTGCCTACCATGTGAACACAATGAAGCAGGTAAAATAAGCAAGCAGGATATTGATGTAGACCAAGATTAGGCAAAGGAGAGAGAGAGAGAGACTCCAAGGCAAGATGTAAAGAGACACTATTTCTTCCTGGGATTTCCTTTAGGACTTTCTGTGCTTATGTACCCATCTGCTCACTTCCCTTCTTAGTCAGCACAAGGCAGAGCTTTGAGAGACTGCTGCACAGATCAGTCGGGGGTACCGTGTCAATCTCCCTTACAAACAGGGGTATTCTCCAAGGTGCAGCAGCCAGCAAGGTTCTTTGCTAGGAGAGAGGCTGAGGCAGAATCAGAAGCCAGCCCCTGAGCTGCAGAGCTCCTCACACACTGGACTGAGAGGGTCCATCTCCTCTTCCTATACCCTTCAAAACAAAAAAACCCAGGCAAGCCCCTCCATCAGCTTCTGGAACACCAAAGGTTGACCCTGATGCAGCTGAACTCCTTTGTGGGGTGGGGTACAAAGGTAGGGGGCCTAGCTGAGAGCACATCCCTCCAGGGCAGCCTCCAGAGGAAGCCTTAAACTAATTGGATATAGGGAATGGGCCTGGCCTAGAACCACTCTTCTTTCCCTTGGCACCTCAACAGAGACGTAAAGCAGGGACCCTTTCTTTCACTAAACTCACCAGTAAACACCCCTCCGCCCCGCGTGAGAAGCAGAGTATTTGCTTCCCACAGAGTGAAAACATTTTTAGAAGCTAATTCTATACTTAAAAAATGTTTTAAGCTGGAAGATATGAAGTGCCCAATAGGACTCTTGTACTTCACATTTCAGAAGCCTTCTGTACTGCTCTGTGGCTCATGGTGGGTGCAGTACCTGGAAGATAAGGAATTAGCACCCGAGGACAAGCCACGTCATGCTATTTCCCATTGCAGATCTCAGAACTAAGTGTGCGCTAAAATGCAACATGCACAAACACCAATCCACATTCTAGCTGAGCAGTTGTAAACTTTATTGAGTTCTGATTAACACAGGATCATTGCATCACAACCAGAACAAATTAGAAAGTGTCTTCCTTTGCTTATATCAGTCATTTCTCAGCTCTAAATTTGATTGTGCTCAACAAAATCTCTTCAAGCTGAGTTGAGGAGCAGAAGTAAAAAAGTTAAACATCAACTGTGTGGCTGACTATCCCTGCTAGGCAAACCAGAATGGGAATTCTGCACATTTCCCACTTGGAAATCTTGGTACTTCTTGGGTCTGTAACCATGTCCCAGAATGCATCATTTGGCAATATGAAATACACCAAGGCTGCAAGAATGGCTTCAGTATGGAATGAAGTCCCAAAGGGATTTGGAGCAGTTAGATCCGATAATCTCTCTCTGTTGAATGCTTCCTACAGGTTTAACCAAGAAATCTTGGCATAATTCATGTTTGCTCTCAGCTCTACAATTTAGCCTTGAATTTGTTCAAGGTTGTCACAATGCAAGGTCCTTCACAGTGCTTTATAGTTCCCTCATTATCACCCAGAATTTGTAGCTTCTGGACACAAGCCTGCTCAGTTCTATATTCTCCTATTGCATGTACATAAAATTAAAACCACTGTCAACATGCTAACAGCTGTGGCTTCAATACATCAAGGCAACAGGAAAAGACTGTATCTACAGCCAATGTAAAATAGTGCCTCATATTGACATGTGCAATTGGGTGTTATGCTAGATCCTGAAAATTAAGTGGACTTTGGCTAATAATTGTGATCTCAAGTTTTTCACCAACAACAGCTGAATGTTTCTTCAGTAAACAAAGAATCAAAACTTAAAAATATCTCCTGCTTCCATGAGGAAGTACATAAGAGAAGTGTAACATGAGAGCTGTCAATTAGCAGCATTACTGCTATGATATGTTTGGCTCAGGTGCAAGGTGTTTTCACACCTCCAACTCTTTTTGAGCTCTCTCCATCAGAGTTATGGCTTAAGTTTCTGAATGGCACATATCACACCGTCCTGAGGGTAAGTAAGTAAGGCATTAGGTAAGGTATTAGAAAAGTGGTAATTCCTAGAGCTTCTCAATTCATTATTCATTTTATTCCAGTGATGCAGCTCAGTGCTGCACTCTTCTTTCTGTCTCAGCAATCCCCAGAAGGTACTTCCTTGTTTTCACAGACCTGGCAAAACCCAGTTCAGCAACTTCATAGCAACTTCAAAACCAAGGAAACAAGCCTGAAATGGAGATGGGAAACAAGGAACATGAGAGCATTAGTCACCTGAAGTAACAGCTGTTTGGAAAGCGGCTTTTCAAAAGCTCAGGAGTACGACCAACAGACCACGAGTGAATCTCCTCCCACTTTAAATGGTAGGGTCCAACAGCTGACACTGCACATCAGAAGTCTTATCTCCACTCTGCTGGACAGACACAGCAGTGTCATTACGTCTGGTTCAGGATCACCGATATGGGGGCCGGGGGGGACATGACAATCTGTTCACATGCTCCTATGCCCTCAAGAGAAGAAAGCCAGCAAACATGTTCCTACATACACAGCACCATTAGAACAAGCCAACACAAACAGGAGTTTAGGGCAAAGCCAATAATCCGATTTCTGCTAATGTGACTTTACAGGCCCATTCTGGTTCCCTAACTACAGGGACCAGAACTAGTGTTTCAGAGCTTGCAAAGATTTCCCAGAACAGCCAACATACAATCATTCCAAGCTGCTACACTTAGCCATTTGTTCTGTAATCACTAGATAGCCTGCAAGTGGCCAGCTCCCAGCAGCCCCCAAGACCCTGCAGTTTACTTACCGCATTAGCTGGAAAGGCCCTGATCATAACAGCTGTGAACCCTTTATACAGGGAGGACACACCTTCCTCTCGGATAAGCTCCCTCAACACATCTCTGAAGCCATTGGGATATTTTCCTGGAGGAGCTGTTAGGGGAGGCAGAACACACTTGCTAAGATTTGTGGACACTGAAGATGTAGCAGATGCAACAGGCTGAGCCTCCAAACCTTCATCATCTAGGCTTAGATTACTGCACAGTATTTAAGTGACTCCGTACACCGAAGTGCAGTAACATCATTTACAAGAAGTATGATTATCTAAGCCAAAATTATTTCAAAGCATCTTAAGACTTTTCAGACAGTAACTGACAAAAAAGAGCAGAGACCAGCTGAACAGAAGCCATTTGCTCATCCACAAAGGATTTACATAACTGGAACCCCTGGGAGGAAACAAAAAAAAAGAAAAAAGGAGGAACTTATCCTAGAAATAGAAGGCCACAATCTCCAATCAAGCATGGCCACTGGTGGTTACAGCCAGCAGCAGCTGCTGGGAAGGAGGAGGAGGGAGGAAGATCAGTAAAGCTGGTCTGCATGAAACAAAACTGGTTTACTCTAAAATGAAGTGATCCTCTCATACAGGAAAGCCAGGAATGGCAACCACTTTCTCATGAAAACCTCTAGCTCCACAATGTGTTTAAAGAACATGACTAGATAAGGAAACATTTGTCTGTCATCTCACATTGGAAATCAATACTAGTAATTATCCTTACCAGCTGCTTCAAGCCACTAATTCACAGGGGTCACAAGTAGACCATATTACCCATCAGGAAGTTTTGGTGAGCAGCTCAGTGGAACAGAGGTGTGATATTCTCCTGTAGCCCATTCACCGTTTCCTTGTACGGTGTGAGCATTACAGAAACAAAGTTGAGGAGGGAAAAGAGGAAGATTTTTCTGCACCAGCAACCCCCACTGGTCACATTGGGACAGGAGCTCTGCCTCTGTCATCAGCACATTACAGAAAAATGCTGAGGTCTTTTCCGGGGTGGGGCAGAGACTGATGCTAGCCTTGCTGCAAGGCTGTTGTATGGGGACAGTCTTTGGGAGGAGTACTGGGCCTTTGAAACCCTTGAAAGTATGGCTGATATTCAAGGTGCCTGGGCTTCAGCATTCTCCCAGGAGACTCAGGTTGACCCTGCTACAGAAGGAGGGTCAGCAGGGTGTGCAGGCTCCACACATTTTAGGAACACCTTCAAGTTTGTCAGTCAGATAAAACAGTGGATTGGGCAAGGCACACAGCTGCTGGGCTGCCTGCTCCGCTTGCATTTTATTTTAGATACCACCTGCCTGAACTGAGGCAATCATGTCTGAAATGAAATGATCAAATGCTTTCACTGGGCTGCAGTTATAATAAACAGTGGTTATACATAGTTCTTATGCAGCACTTTTCCTCCTCAGCTCTCAAAAGTGCCATACAAAGGAGGTTGGTATTATGATCCCCAGTTCACAGATGAGGAGCTGGGGCAAAGAGGCTAAACCAATTTAACCAAGATCACTGGGCAGGCAAGTGGCAGAGCTGAAAACAGAACCCGCCCCCCCACCAAGTCCCAGTCTGGTTCTCTACTTCACCACACTGCCTCCCACCTAAAAGGATGCCCAGCCAGAAGGCTGCATCACACTGCCCACCCCCTCACAGCAAAGAAACCTTGCGTGCAGCTGACACCTTGCTCACCAGTCTGGAAGCGGGATTTCAGCACATCCGGAGGAATGGCAACAGCCCAGTTGAAGATCCCTGCCATGCCTCCAGCGAAGAGAACCCGGGGCACACTGAGGTCACTGACACTGCAGGAACATTGAATACAAAACATGTCTGGTTTTACATAGTGGAAGAACAGCAGCACAGCTTGCCTGAGCTGGAGAAAACATCATAGTGCTACAAACTCAGACTGAAAGCACATCTTGGTTGGGCAGGAATTCAGAGAGCAGTACACCTGTGATCAGAATGTGCTGTCTCCACAGAAAAGGACACACCAGCAGCACACGCACACAAGGACTGCCTAAAAGGCACCTTGTGGGACAGGAGCATGCCCAACAGTAAATACTTCCTAGTGGTATCAGTAAGGGAAGAGGGCAGGAACTGGGAGAAACAACTTCACATCCTATGTAACTCTCAGTAGAACCCTAGAGCAAGATGAGTCAGCTTAAAAAGAGAGAAATAGTAAAAGATATTCCTCTGGCCATTTTGGTCATGTTGCTCTAACCCCTCACTTAGCTGGAGAGACTGATCTGCAGTGTCTAGGGAAGTCAGGGACGTGCTAATTTAAGATTCCACTAACCTCTTTTCCTCAGGG